ATTGGACCAGCAAACCTGGTCCCCACCTTCTTTTTTTTTTTTTTTACCTCCAAATGATTTTGAGCTTTGTACCACATTGCTCTCCCTCTGTATGCAGGATCTACAGTAGGATTATTCTTGAAATATGATTTTAGCAGCAAACTTCCATGAATCTCTCTCATAGATCCACTTCTCTATTCACATTCAGGAAGCAGCTCCTCCACTGCTCTTTCAGGCTTTTTTCTCCTCCTGAGGGGATTTTTTTTCAATTGTTATTTGGGTGAAAGTTTACAGAGCAAATTCACTTTCCATACAGAAGGTCACATACACTTTGTCTCATGACTTTGACTGCAATTTCCCAAAATGCAACAGCTCCCCTCCCCATAGTTACCTTTTCCTTGTGTCCTTCCCTCCCATGCACTCCTGCCCCCTGAGCTGTCTCCTTGTGCATACACAGCCTTTCTGTTCTCCCATGATTGATTTCTTCAAGGAGTGTATCTACCTAATGTAAATGGTCACCTTATATGCCTATCTTTTGTTTGGCTGGAAGTCACAGGAGTGGGTTCAATTCCACATCTCAAGGGCAGCCAGAGGCCATAGTCTCAGTGGTTCCATCAGGCTCTATAAGACCAGCAAACCTGGTGTCATCCCCCCTCCTTTTTTTAAAAAAATTATTTTGAGTTTTGTTCCACATTGTTCTCCCACTCTATCTGGGATCTCCTACATAGATCCCTTAGGGAAAATTTTAAAAACGAAGTCTCCAGCTCCCATCATTTTAGCCATCTTAGGGCCACAGCTAGTATGCTGTCTACATTATCTGTTCTACATTTCCCTTCACCCTCAGTTATCACCTGTCAGGTCTAGATGTCTTAGTGGTTTGGCCCCAAATATCATTCCTGAAGGGTTTGAGTTCCTACTAATCACATTATACTCAGCCCCCAATAACACATTTATATTAACAGTTAAAATTGAGCAAGGGAGTACTAAGAAACACTCAAGTGGAACACATGGTACCTATTCATATATTCTTCTTTGCCAGATTGTGTAAAAGCAGCTCTATCCCCTCCTGCTGGTCAGGTTAAATTATCCTTGTCAAGATGGTGACTCTTCTCAGTGTCTGGTCCCTAGCACCAGGAGTCCAAAGTGCCCTGGCAGAAGTACATCCGTGGGACTATTTCTGTGTCTCCTGGCAAGGGTATTTCCCCCTTTTGGGACCAGTACCTATAATTTTGCAAAGCGTAGAGTTGCTGGGACAAGAAACACATGGTCTGGGCCCACATCTTCATCCTACAGTGGATATGACACCATATTAAGGTCTCTGATTTAATGCATATATACTGCATCTCAAAGGATGGCATCCCATTATTACAGAGTATTGTATCCAACCTAATAATTAATTATGCCTTACAGTAGATTGTTCAAGTTCTCCATGAGGCTGACTGCTTCTGGACAGTAAGATGTGTAATATGACTAGGGGATCCCATGGTCATGGGCCTATTCTCAGAAATGGGAACTCAGCTTATAATAGGCAGTTCTGGGTGCATGGTCTTTTAGTGCCCATTGATATAACATTGTGTCTCTGTTATGGCACAGTACCTTGCCAGTAGCTATCTCTCAAAAAGCATATTCTCTGTTGTGGATGGCATAGACCTGCTCCCAGGCCTTAGGATTCTTACGTTAGAGGCTGCCATAAGCTCCACTCTGCATCTTTTTCTATCACTGACATCTCCAATAACACAGTGTCTGCATGATTATATGGCACAAATGCCAGAGCTCCTGAAACCAGAACCTGGACTTGCTGTGAAGCCCTGTATTTTTACTCCAGGTTCCATTGAAACACAGAAGACGTTAGTGTCATCCAATAAATGAAATGGAGCAGATGAGAGATGTGTTGCTTCAGAATCCAAAGAAACACGCCATGCATTGTGCTTCCTTCTGTGTAGTAATGAATACAATATGCAGCAATTTTTCTTTTCCCTGAAGAAGAGAATATCTTTGCATGTCCCCCACTATGGGACTTCTAAAACTTTAGTGAAATGGCAAGTTCAGACTCTGTTTAAGATTTATCTTCCACTGTCTGGAGAACATGTGTCTTACTAAGGTCTTCCAGCATACTATTCATCCTTCGATTATCTTGATAATTATAATGATTATCATTATATCATTGATATAATGCATCAGTGTGATGTTCTGTGGTA